TGATGTTAGGGTATGTCACTCAAATGCAGACTCGTATCAAGGTCTTGAACCTCAGTAGATCTTAAGAATGCACGAAAAGGAGAAGAAGCGTCTAAATGGGGACAGAGTTATTGAAGTTAAACATGGTACATTTACACCAGTGGTCTTCACCACAACCGGAGGTACGGGAAAAGAATGCGGTATATGCCATAGCAGACTGGCTGAGCTGATTTCAACTAAGAAAGTAGAGAGTTATGCGAAGACCATCTCATGTATCAGAGCGAAAACGTCCTTCTCATTATTAAGATCCGCTCTATTGTGTCTGAGAGGCTCAAAGACTATTAAGAGAGTCCCGTGCGACATTAAGAACATTGATATCCAAACAACAGAAAGGGCCATGTCCATTGAATCAGACGTACATTCTTTTATATGTTCCTTTTTTCTTCTCTTTGTAAGTATTTACTTTTAGACTAGTTATCGTTCACAAGTATTTGAGAGATTGAATTCTAAATCGTTGCTTTTTATGTTGATAATGTAAGTTCTTCGGAGTTAATATACATTTTGGCACAAAAAGCACGATTTGTTTTGGCTCTATATCGATCTGTAAATATTCCGACTGAGTTGTGAATAAAGTATTATTATTATTGTAACTTTTTTCTGGCTTGGAATCCGGTGGAATCGTTAATTCAAGCACCATACGATGTACAAAAGACTGTGATTTAAAGATTGCAATGTTGTGTGCTGAATTCCCGAAAGTAGAATTGACCGATTTGAGTGACACGGGTAGGCACAAGTTATAATGCACCAGGTAAATTTCGCGACCTGCAATAGCTTGTTTCGAACATGGACTGGGCTTCTATTTGCCAAAATTCCCTCTATCTTTTCAAAGTAGCCAGTGGACAGAAAACCTGTGGTAATGTCAGACTGGTTCTTCGAGGTTTTGCATGTAGATTCGTGTGAGTGGTTAAAACCAACCTTTGGATCCTCAAAAAAAGGTCCATTTCCCCTGAATAGAGATGGCCCTTTGATGGAGTTACAGATACAAAGGTTATATGAACATTTTCCGGGAACAACGTTGTTTCCATGGAATGGTGGTGTTCCCTGAGTAGAGGTGTCACAAAAGAGAGGTTCCACTGTACTTAGAATACTCTTTTGGAAAGAAAATCTTAAAATTTTCTCACTTCGATAAAGCTGAAAGCGCTCAGTCCCCGTGGAACTTGTGGAGTTGATTACCGGCAGATTTATAAATTTGTTCCCCATTAGTTATTTATCTGTCTATTTATTTGGTTTCACCGCGCAAAGCCTAGAGTCTTGTTAAGTTTCGATAAGTTTTCTGGTCATGACACGATCGACACCCATCCAGAGATTGGCCTCGTGAATGGTAATAAAAATTTACAGGGTTACTCAGCTAGCTTTTCGCTAAAAAAAAAAAAAAGAAAAAAAAACCCAAGACCAACTTAAACATGTTGATTTCCAATAGAATTGATCTGTGATGAACAGAAATAAATTATTTGCCCCGTTTGACTGCAACACACCTATTTGTAAATGGTGTAATGAAAAATTCACAGTCCTCATTCCCAGTCTTTTTCTTCGTCATGTGTGATCCTCAAACACCTCAGTGACGCTTACACGATAAGCATTTGGAATTAATGAGAGGATCGTGGAGATCGAAAAAACTATGGAAATTGTAAAGGAAGATTTTCTTTGTAGAAAGCACATTCAGTTCTTTAAACGATGCTTAGAAGTACTGCCATCGCCCTATAGCTCTTTAGATACCAGCAGGTTTGTTTACTTGCCATCGAATGGCACCTAGCGGATTTTATTATACTCTTCCTTAAGCAAATTTTTGCGTTCTACACTACTGTCAGACAGATTGGCCATCACTACGACTGTCACGGTATTTCTTCTTTATTCCTGATGTTTTGATGACTTTTGCATACGGCTTACGAAATATTGAAGAATGATCTGTAAGCCCGGCTAACTTAAATGAACTTTCTTATTAACTCTTTTGAAGAGTTAATTGAGCTCTGTAACATACACCGTCATTTACTCTTTAACACAACAGGGATGGATGTCAGTCCGGAATTTATCAATATTGATTTTCGAAGTTGACCAGGCTTTTTCGGAGCAATTTGTGACTTATCAACTCTGTGTAAACTGAAGGCCTGTTAGATGTAGAAATTTTTGGTTTTGTGGAATCATGTTGAGGAATGTCGTTTTTAAGTATATATTTAAGCATGTTTATTTATTTTTGTATTTAATCATTCATTTATGTACTGAATAAGACTTTGAAAATTTGTCCAGAAACAATGTAGAAGATTAAGAAAATTAATCACTTCATCATAGGTGTTTTTGTTTTACCTCAGATAATGTGATAATTTTATTTTGTAGAATAACTGTGGCATTCTTTGCTCTTTCTGGTTTGGATATATTGAATTCACTTGACTCAGTTGAAAATGACAAAAATAACATTATTGAATGGATATACCATAACCAAAAGCTTCCTAGTGAATCTGGTAAGTATTTTTCAGTTGTATTGACTCAGTTGTACTGATTCATCGAAATACCAACACTAGTCAGTTATAAGTAGTCCCTGTTTACACAGATACCGAGGTTGTCCATGATCTATTATCCCATTGTAACAAAGTATGAAATATGTGCCTGGCTGTGTGTTACATGTATGTTCTGATTGCTTTTTTCCTTAATTGTGGTCATAGCTTACTACTTTTGGTTATAAATGCTTCATCTATCTGCAACCCTTTAAATCTTAACAATAGTATGCATATTCTCCATTCTGTTCTCCATAGATTTCCTAAGGTTCTGACAAGGAGAATTTAATTCACAATTAAGAGCTTCTTTAGTTTGGTGATTCAGGGGTGACATTGTAAGAAGAAATTAGATGTTAATCACTTTGAGGGGTCAAAGGGTTTAATTCTTTTTAAAGCATTTGGAGTTAAAATGCATATAAATTTATAATACATTTTTTGCCTTAGATAATTCAAGTATATTTAGATGCGGTTTCCGGGGATCATCAACAACAGCTTGTAACAGAATGCTCTCACAGGTACAGTTATTGTAAATTGTTGCATTTTGGTTTACAGACAGACTTCTTTTGCTGTGGTTTTGTTGTTCCCACTTCAAAGGAATTAAGTAGCTACTAGGTAACAATTACCTTTATCTTTTATATAGTGCTATTGTTCCCACTTTTTAAAAAAAATTAGATGCCTGTTAATAACAACTAGGTTTTTTTCATTCAGTGGGAAATGACTTTGTTGGAAATATTTTACCAGGTAGTAAATCTTAGAAAATATCACGAACTTAGCTGAAACTGTGTTATGCAAAATCACTGAGTGTAGGAGTGTACAAGGGGTTTGGTGACTGTCAGTTCATTTTCACTTTAGGGCAATTGATAGGGTGAGTTCTAACTTAAACTTTTAACTCCTAACTATGACCAGGACAGAATTTCTACTACATTATCAATACAGTATCAAGAATACAAGTGTCAAGAATAGAGAAGAAAACTCAATTAGGGAACTACAAGTTGATACAATACCAAATTCTCCAAATTGATATCATAAGTATTTTATGGCAGGCAGTAAGGATGAGATCTTGGGAGTGAGAGGGTTAAAGTTATTTATGTCTACAGGAACCACTTTGTGCAGTGATTGAGTGATGGTAACCTCTATCAATATGCTTTTTGGTGTTCAGATCATCCCTGGGCATTTAGTTCTTGCATTTAATGTATGTTCTATCAGACAAGCTTAAAATTGTCTCCCTATTCTCAGCATTTTGCATTCTGTAAGGTTTTTGTTCTCCTTCTTGTCAGCTCCCTTTAGATTGGGTTTTGTCATTGTAAGTTCAGTTCATGCAAATATCATCAAGTTTCTTATTGTTTTTCATTGTAATGATGATCTTCTTTCAACAGAAGTAAAGGTTTCTTTTTATTTAAAGGATGTTTGTGAGTATGACTGTAGTCATATTGCTATGACTTACACAGCCCTGGCCAGCCTGCTTATTTTAGGAGATGATTTATCAAGAGTGAATCGACCAGCCGTAATTGCAGCTCTGAAGGCCTTACAGCTTCCTGATGGCAGGTCAGTGATCTGTTTTTATGTAGCTATAAGAGTATGATTATTATACAGTTGGACTAATAACTTTGTCATTTAACCCTTTAACTCCTGTTAGTGACCAAGACAGAATTTCTTGTTACAATATCAAGAACATAAGTGATTAGGATAAAGAAAAATATCAGTGAGGGAATTATAATTTTTTTCTGAACCAAATTCTTAGAATCAACATCATAAAAATTGTATACCAGGTAGTAAGGAGAATTACTTGTAATATCTTGGGAGTAAAAGGGTTAAGAAATTGAATGTAAAATCATATTTATTCACTAGTGCATGTGCAAGAGACTCTGCTTGAATTGATATTTTTTGTGAAATTTCCATAATTATTTAAATGTCAGTTCTGTAAATGTGAAAAATATTTAAAATAGCATTTTACCTTTATAATTCACCAATGAATAAACCTGGTGAGCTTTTGCATGAAAATATATCTTCCCTCAAATCAAATTGAAGGATTATTTGGGTTCAGCCTCTGTAAATGAAATTCAAGCCCTTCACTCTGCTACTCACTGGATTTGTTCTTGTTCTTCCAAGCTCATATTTTATGCTGTGCTAGTCTGCCTCCAGTCATTTGATATTTTTAAACACATTTGTTTCCAATTTTGTTGGTATAGGCCCTGAAATGCCCCGTTTGAGAAGAGGTCAATTAAGTATATATAAACAGTTAGTGGTACAGGTGGCTTAAATTTGCATTTTTTACCATATGATTTTACAGCTTCCAGCCCACAATGGATGGTAGTGAAAATGACATGAGGTTTATCTACTGTGCCTGTTGTATAAGCTACATTTTAAATGACTGGAGTGGAGTGGACATTCCTCGAGTTGTTCAGTACATCAAGGAAAGCAGGGTATGAATATTTGTACTCAAATATCATTACATTGTGCTTTTCTTGGAACTTTGAGAATCTTGTTTGTACATTACAAACATTGCTTATCAACAATAAAACTTAAAAAGTGACAATAAAACTTAAAAAAAGTGACCTTCTCCTCTCATTTTTTGTTCTTTAGTCATATGATTTTGGATTTGGTCAAGGACCTAGCTTGGAAGCTCATGGTCAGTTATAATGGAACAGTTTTCTTTCTATTAGGAGTTATTTAATATAATTGTGGTATTGACTTTTCAAAAATTTTAACTCTGATTAACATAATTCACATTCAAGCTGATTGTTATCCCCTCCCTGTTGCAAACTGGGTCAAAGGAACCTCTGGCATAACATTCATTAAAACAATTTTAATCCTTTTAAACATTTATGTGTACTGTGCAAGATGATTTACATGTGTTGGGTTCAGGAATTATCTGGGATGTCACCTGAAATTGTGGCCAAGATGGTCACCATCATGGACTTAAGTTAGAATTTCTGCTAAAAGAGAGATGAGCTACAAATGTATGGGTTAGTGGCATTCACCTCTATCCCCTCCTTGTGCTAGTGATTAAAGTGAAGCAATAATCAGGCAAAACCTTTTAATGAAGTTTCAACAAGGAGTTATTGATAAATACCTTTCACTAGCCAAGTTTGAGCTCCCTACTGTTTGTAACAGACAAAGTTATTTCCATTGGATTTATGGCCAAAGAGGAACTGGGCATACCATAAATCAGAGCATGAAAAACCAGGTGCAGTGACAACTTACAGTATGAACCAAGAAAATGAGGGTAGTAAAATATTTATCATATCTCTCAGTTCAAATAGTGGGGAAAGATTTCAATTCAAACAAACTTATGTACATAGAGGGCTGTACAGTGAAATACAGCCAGCTAAATTGATTAATCGTAGTACACATATAAACTGTGAGATACCAGATATAATAAGATAAGCTATGTGATAGGATGATATAATACGAGTGTCTTTTCTTTAATATTAATTAATCTATTCTTATGGTCATTACTTTAAAGGTGGGTCCACATTTTGTGCTTTAGCATCTCTTGTGTTAATGGATCAGCTTGATTCCTCCTTTGAGGCCAAAGAACTTGAAAGAATAAAGAGATGGTGTCTAGTGCGTCAGAAGTCAGGCTTCCAGGGTCGCCCCAATAAACCAGTTGATACATGTTATTCCTTTTGGGTTGGAGCTTCATTAGAGGTATGAAGTTAAGGACTATAAAAATTTGTTAAAATATGTTAATTACCAGTACATGACTGTGATCCTTATTAAGTGCCTCTCTCAAATGCTCTTCTGCTTTGAATCTGATGGAAAATGCATTTAGCCTCCTTTTCTTTGTGATAAATGGAATTCAGATTTATGGATGGAGTAATTTACAATAGACCTTCACTTGTCCCTGTCAGAAGCAATGACACTAAGTTTCCTTTGGATGTGTTTTTAGTTACTTGGTGCATTCTCATGCGTGGATTTCCCAGCCAATCGGGAGTACCTTATTTCAGCCCAAGCAACAGTGACAGGAGGCTTCAGCAAGTGGCCTGGTAACCATCCTGGTAAGACAGTCAAACTTAGCCCTAAGAAAGACACCAAGTTTAACTATTGCACAGATTCAGGTTATCAATTTATTGTAGACTGTTGTAAATCTATGATGAACATACAGTACTGTTTCTTTTTCAGATGCTCTGCATACATATTTTGGACTTTGCGGGATGTCTCTGATGCAGGAACCTGGCTTAAATTCAATTCATGCAGCATTGAATATTACGCAGAGAGCTGCTAATCACTTAAATAAGTTACACAAGCTAATGAATAGATGATAACTGTTTTGGTATTTGTTTGTTATCTATTTTATGGATGCAAAAATTAGTAATAAATTTTTTGAGAACTTGAAAAGTTGGCACACGCACAAATGGTCAATTGAAAGGAAAGCCCATAGTGAAGATTTCCTGGAAGGGCATACATTCTGAGGGGCAGAGAATGCTCTCATTTTGGGAATTGTGATGAGTGGATTTACGTGATAAGCCAAGAATCAAGATGTTGATTGCACTAGGAGCATTTCTTCCCTAAGTTTCTCTGAATTTCAAGCAGTTAGTCTCTGAGAGAAAAATGTTTAAGACATGGATGTCACCTTGGCTTATTCTCCCTGAGGAATGTGCAACTAAACACTGAGAAGTGATATAAGCACACATACATGTTATGACGTTTCCTCGGGCTGTAAAGAGAATATTTACCTTTGACACCTAGGGAAGGTCTCAGACAATTTTTAACTACTTATTAGTAAAGGCAGTGTAGTGTTTCACGTAAATTTAGTGACAAAAGTGATATAAAATGTTACTGGAATTTCAATCTAGTAGGTGACATAATAATTCTAATCCAATGCATGATCATTGCCACTCAAATAAATTTTGTTTTAATGGATACTTGTCAAATAACTACTGACACCAGAACAGTTGTTTCTTTATTTTCATTTGCGAGATTCAATTTGTTACTCTCTTGGCGACTTTCTTGCTAGAATCTCTGATATCATAACTAAAAATTGATAATCAATATTGTTGTTAAAAATATGATTACCGTATTTATTACACCCATTTTGAAATCACTGGTGGTCCCTGTAATCTGATTGGCTCTAATTGGTGTGATTTATTCTTGAATCCCACCATTTTTTGCTTTAAATTGCATCCTTTTCCCAGCCAATGAGGAGGCTTCACTAAAAACAAAACAACCAATCAGATTTCAAGGTTTACTGAAAATAACCAATCACATTGCAGGGAAATGAAGGGCAATGGGTATCACAAGGCAAATTTTGCAACTTTTGTTTCCAAAACTCTTATTACACCAAGAAAACATTTGAATCATGACACAACCATGCCATCAGACAACTTGATGTTCAAAGTCATTAAGGGTTTTACTTCATTTAATCAATAACATTTATCTGTTTCATAGTGATTGTTTAGTGCTACAACCTTTGGTTTTTGTGTGTGTGTGTGAGAGAACATGGCCTGTCCCAGGTGTTTAATTAGCAAACTGGGGTGATGTTTGCAGTAGAGTGAAAAAGTAAAGGTGTGGGTAAGGAATGAGACCTGACCCAAACATCACTCCTTTTTTCACTGCTCTGCTACTATTTTGGCATTAGCTATTGCACTTTGTTTTAACAACTGAATGCTAGGAACAGGTTTGTTTAGAGCATAATCTATGACAGAAATTTTAGAGATAGTAAAGCAAATGTAATGCATACAGCCAGTGTCTTTTTACTTTATATTACATTGCTTATCAATTTTCCTTTAATAAATACATGTATGATGCATTAAGTAATAAAATGATAATGACAAACAACTGTGCATCACTTAAGACTGATTGGTTCCTTATCATATATCTTCATTACATGAAAGGTTCACTAAAAAACTCCATGAAATATTTCAAAAGCTGACCACCAGAGGAAAGGGATAAATATCCTATTAGACATTTTGGTGTGTAGTGTCACTGAGTATCTTGGCAAGTTGTGCTGTAAAATACAAACAATGAGTAAAAATACTCAGCAACTCTACACACTAAAATGTGAGAGAGTTATTTATCATCCAACTTCTTTGTTTTTGTATGAATTTAGATGCCTTTTTTTACAGGTTGCCTTTTGAAAGAATAAATACAGAGTTCAATGTGAGATGGCTGTTTTTCTCAGCAACAACTAAATTTTTTTAACCATTTAACTTCCAAGATCTGATTTGTTGTGAGTGGTGATAGACCAAGATAGTAACTTCTACCTGATAAGTGTGAGTATTTTCATTACCTGTTTGTTGAATGTATGGATACTAAAGGGGGAAGTTACATGTTTATCATATCTGGGAGTTAAAGGGTTAACAATGAACAACTTTCAACCCTTCACCCTGACTATAATTATCCTTGAAATTTTAGCCAACAGTTGGCTAATAGTTGACTGACAGGTTTCTTCAGTGAGTTCTTATTTCTACCCTCTGTTGAGACTAGTTATTATAAATTATATTATGATACGAAATCATAGACAGTGTCTAGATGTAAATTGAAGGTAACTTTTTAGCCATCTGTTTAAACTCTAACAGGGATTCCTTCACTCAACAAATGCTCTTTAACAACATTGATTGAAACTGTGTTTCGATGAAATATTCCTGCTGCTAGTGCTGCATCAGCATGTGCATCTTGGAACACGTCAGAGAAGTGATTGACATGACCAGCACCACTAGAAGCAATCACTGGAATACCAACAGCTTCTTTGACCATGGCAACCAGTTCAAGATCGTAACCACTATTAGTTCTAACCAAAATAAATTCAAAGAAAATGATTAGTCCACAACACCAACTTCTTGCTAGTACTACAATCAGTGAAGACTAAAATCACATTTCCAGTTCAGTATTCAGCCAATTTATCACTTTCTTTTAGGATTTCCATCTGATCAACTTCATCCAATCAAAAAATATGTCACTGTGGTTTCACACCACATAAATAGAGCATGGAGATGAGTTACTACTTGAAAGCCACCCTCCTTTCAGTCCATTCTGTTCACAGATTGGCTGAAATGTCCTTGTGTATGGAGCCTGATTCCTATCAGTGATCTCCTTTTCACTAAATCCTTAAATACACACCTTACATCCAAGCAGTGGAATACACTAACTGAAGGTTGGACTTGCATTTTGCAGTAATTGTGTGAACTTTGATTTACATAATATGATTTACATTGTTACTCACCCATCCCTGTCAATACTGTTAAGCATAATTTCTCCTGCACCAAGAGCTTCACATGCCTGCACCATTTCATACACTCCAATATCTCGCAACTCTCTCCCTCCTTTCACTGTGCACTGGTACCAACAGTATTCCTCACCAGATGGACCAGGGTAACTTGAGTGAATCACATGATGCTGTACAGCCTCACGGGATGGAACACAAACTCGCTTTGGGTCAACTGAGATAACTACTGCCTGACGCCCATATGCAGCAGCTATTGTTTCAATAGAGGTTTGGCCAGTTGCAATTCCACCACATGATATGAAGTTCTCAGCTGCATACACTGCATCACTGCCAATGGACACCTTGTCTGCTCCTGTCAAAATAGTACAGTGGTCCCCTGTTATCCACTGTTTAGATCCAGTTATTAAACAAGCATTGAAGGTGGAAGAGACTAGTAAGCTTGTCTACATGAAGTCTTCATTAGATATGTAACCAGGGATTAGAGCTAAGGTCAGGGCACAGACACTTTACTTTTCTCTATTCCTTAACTGTGTTATTGAAAATTTTATTCTTACTGAAACTCTCTGCAAGGGCCATTTCTACACCCCTCTACAATGGACCATCAGCAATACATATCATAGTAGGATCAGATATTGAACCATAATTTTCTTGTTTGCATCAAAACAAATAATAATCAAAGTTATTTAGCATTAAAATGACCCCAGCACAGAGTTCTGTCTTAGGTTGGCTGTTACAAAGAAGTTTAACTGTAGTTTTCAACTGGTGATATATGCTTGTACCACATAACACTTTCATAAAATCAATAATTATAGGCAAATATTCAAAACTAGTCTCCAGTATCATACAAAGGTCACTTTATTTACCAAAAAGTTGAATACATTACCAGATCTGAAGTATTCAGCTGCCACTTCCACAGCTGAGTAACACTTCATCTTTGATTGGTCACCATCTTTGCCTGGGGCAAGTATCTCACGAATACCACCCCCGACAGTAAGGGGGACAAAAATATTTTCAGATGCTTGCCGAAGTACCTCTAGCATTGGAAGATCATGGAGAGGGCAGTTTTTGAAGCTTGTAATATTCAAAAATACTATTTCGTCTGCTCCTTCCTTGAAATACCTGCGTGCCAACTCTACAGGTTTTCCAAGGTTTCTCACAGCACCCTTAATTTGTGTGACAGAATGAATATTCTCTGTAATGGATTGTTCGCGCACATCATATTGTTCACCTTTGGTGACCACAAGGTCTCCTTGATCATTATTGCGGACATCAAGACAAGCAATGATGCGATGACCAAGTTGTGTTGGCTTACTGGCATCAGGCAGTTTGTAGGGAATACTTGCAATCTTTGCACTCATTGGAAAACTTTCCAAGAAGCTCTTGATTATTTTAATTCCCATTTCTCCACTTTTCTCTGGGTGGAACTGTGTAGCAACAATATTTCCCTTTTGCACAATGCTGATAAACTCCTCTCCATAATCAGTAGTGGCAAGAACCCACTCATCGATCTCTTTGCTTTGTGAATGTAATGCATATGAGTGGACAAAGTAGACTTTTTCTTCACTGGAGAAACCAGTTGGGAACAGAGCTGATTCCTTACGAAGCTTAAGTCCATTCCAACCCATATGTGGTACAGCAAGACCTTCAGCCTTGTTGAATTGTGTCACAGTTGCAGGTATCACAGACAAGCCTTTGGTACCTGGAGACTCTTCACTGCCATCACACAATGTCTGAAGTCCAAGACAAATTCCTAAGTATGGCCTGTCTTGTTGGATGTACTTCTTAAGTGGTTCCACAAAACCACTGCTTTCAAGAAGAGCCATTGCACTTCCAAAGGCTCCAACACCTGGAAAGATAAGCCTTTCTGCACTTAGGATATCCTTGGCATCTTTCACAAATTTCACATTGTAACCAAGAAGTTTAAGAGCATTAATGAGACTTCGGATATTTCCTGCTCCATAATCAAGGACTGTCACTTCAGACATCTCTGAGGTCTTGGGTTTTTGTCACAGGTGTGTCCTGAAAAAAAAAATTGGTTTTGAAACATGATAAATAATAATTGCAATTATTGCAATTAAAGAATTACATGTTTACAAGACTGTACAGAAACAGTGAGATGAAATAGTGCAAAAAGATGATTTTGAATAACTTATTTCCCCAACAATTACAAGATTTTTGGGTGCAAACCCTTAGCACATTGCACAGAGGTAAATTGCAAAAGATATCAGAGTTTGAGTACCCAATTAGAGCATTCCCTAAAAGCTACCCACTGTTTAAGTACATACTAACATGGTATAGTCCACTTACACTCACCCACTCAACAGAGATTATCTGGTAGATAGAAATATCCATCCTTCTAACAACCCTGGCATATTTACGTTCTGGACTATTAAGCAGTGAGATTTTTTCTTGAATTGAATATACCTTTTTCAGATGGCATAAATGTTTGATTGACAATTTATTTCTGTTCCATTGTTTTCTTTCTAATATTCCCCTTCCAACTTGTAAGCTCTCCTTGAGGAAACAGTTTCAAAAAACCTTAATACAGATGTGTATCAGTTTTACACATGTTCATTCCCATTAATCTCTGAATTACTGGTGACACCACCTGTAATTGTTTAAGTTGGACACTTCCTTAAGACTGACAGTTCGAATCTGTGCCAATGTTAACTAAGAGACAAGTCACATCAAGAAAAATAATCTTTTTTGCACAAGAACAGACTCAGAATTTCATCAATACAATGGAAGTTTGGCCTACCAGCTCCTCACTCAAGACAGATAAGAGGAACACAGGGTACCCACCAGGTATGTATACTGAGTGTGGCAACTCCACACTAAAGCATGCCTAAAGGATTTTCAATCTGATTGAAAATTTTGTCTGCTAGATTATGAATACAATTACACATCCTATTTTTCAGATTGACAGAAACATTTAACATGATTAAAACAGCTCACAAAGCCCAATGTATATTTGATGTTTTGATTTACAAGGCCTTCAAGGGATCTTGGCAACAAGCAACATAATTTGCTAAAAAATATGGTGAAAATCTTGTTCAGGAGCACCAACAGTCCACAAAAACTGATAGAAAAGAAGCAATATTTTGCAACAGCGACTATCCATTTTTAATTTTGATGAAGTGACATTTCTTTGCTTTGATATTCATGGCAGAGACATTGTGACCAGGACCGCATGACTCTTTTGTGATCTTTCCAGCCTCACTAAACTAATAAACCACTAAAAAGTCAAGACTCCTTATTCAAACCATGATACAACATTTATCTAGAGAGAATTGTGTTCTTCATTACTATATAAGTGTAAAAGATAAGTACTCGAGTGGGGAAGCTATCGGCCAACGACCGATAATGAAACACAAATATGAAGCCTTGAAGTGGTCTCTGTAATTCTTACTACTCCTAAAGCCAATAAAAATTTATGTGTGGTTGATCCTTTGTTAAAAAGACAACATGCCCCAGTGCTGGCACAAGTCAAAAATGATTGTATTGCCAAATTTAGTGTGACAATGCCATTTTTATTCTAGTAAAGAACTCGAAGTGACAGCAACATTTGTCCCTTATCAAATAAGAGACAGGAGTGTTGATATACGAGCAACAAGGGAACATCAAAACCCCCCCTTGGAAGGCCTCGTTTACAGCTGGGTAAGATTCCCCCATAGCCCCATCCTTCATTATGCATACAGTTCTTGGATAAAGATAACAATGGCGAAAACAATAGATTGCCTTTAGGAATACAGTTTTGTTTTACAATACTACAGGGCTGTGTGAGAATCTTACCTTCATCCTGTAATAGGATGAAATAGTCATATACTCCTATTGTAATAAAGTCTTCAACTTAAATATCTCTTCAGCCTGGCTAACATACCCTCTTTAAGAGCGCGCGCAAAGAACGAGTTCATTTTGATCTTAATGCAGAGTACATCACTGAAACGGACCAGAAAAATACTTAGGTAAAATTTCCGCACAGCCCCATACTGTTGTAAAACAAATCTGTTTTCCCAATGGCAATGTATTGTTTTTGTCATTGTTTTCTCTATCCAAGAACTGAATGCATAATGTAGGATGGTGCTGTACGGAAATTTTACGAATACTCATTTTTTTATCGATCCCTAATTTTCAACACTCTGTTGTTTAAATTAGAATACTTCCGAAGTTTTGTGAAAGGACGATATGCACTTACCACATGTACCTTAGCTCCTGCTACGGGCTCCGGTGATAGCGGTCATCAACTAAAATTTACCCAGGTTGCCCTTTGTTCGCCCCACTAGAAGGTCACGTGGTCTGATATACTTCTCTCTGGCAGAGGTAGCAGCGTGGACATTTGCCGGAAAATAGTCTTTGCAATCATGCTTTCATCACGACTCACGTCCATTTTAACGAGAAGTTTGGCGAGAAGAACACCTCAGGTAAAGTAATCAGTTTGTTAAAGCCCTTTTAGGTCCATGTCCCAGTCGTATTTGACAAATTAAAGTCGTGAAGGAAGAGCGCGGCCTGGTTGCACCGTGAATCGGCTCGTAATGGTTCAAGGGATGCAGCGATCAAAAGTTCGGAAATTTCCCAGTAATAGGCGACAAGGTCTAGGGAAAACTTTCTTTGATATCTTATTCGAAGAAGTGGATTAAAAGAATAACTCATTGCTATCTGAAATTTCTGTTGTCCATGGAATATAGTGATGGAACATTTCCGTAACTCAATATCAATGGTTTTGCAGTCCAGAGGGGTGTACCGGATAACGCCGTGAGCCGCATTTACTATTGGTTAGCCACCCAACTTGTAACCAGAAATGCAATTGAGTTTCATGTCTTTTATAAACCACATTTTATCTACTTTGCATAATGTTACGGCACATTCCGTTAGTAAACGTCAAGACTTAAATCTCGCATATGCTAAGTCTTCCTCAATTTATTAAGGGGGCTTTTGATATGGCCTTCATCGTAACCCTGTGTTTATTGGAAGGTTACGAGAATGGTAGAAGGAATTAAATCCAACTTCTTAAATTTTTCCAACTACCGTGGAAAAAACAATTTTTAGTGTACAAAACATGTTTCAATAATTTTAGGTCATTTTCAGTTACAAATGTTTGTTGTACAATTGGAATTTCATTGTACAGTTGGTTGATATCCTTTCTTTTTTCTCTGTTCACTAATGTAAGTGTTGGGAGAATGCAACTAGCTCAGTTTGTAAATTGAGCCAGAGGAGAGAGATTTACAAAATTTGCAGTTGCAGCTCTGCACCCATACACTCTGTCAGAACTGTTGAAAACAGTATCAGTTAGAATTATCTGCATACTTGTTTCCAATCAAAATATGGCTTTGGGTGTAGTGTAAAAATGTTGTTGTAGACTGAATGAAATAACATCTGCAAAAGTGTTACAGGCTTTGTTCCAATTTGAGTTTCTGGTTTTCAGATTTATCATGGATCCCTTGGTGCAGTATCAGTTGCTGTACGAAATATAACATCATCTAGTCCACACTTTGCAAGTAGTGGTAAGTTAGCTAGTAATGATTTGTCATTGTTGACTAGTGTATATGTAATTTTGGAAAATGCTTTTTGAGATTACAGAGAGGTGGGCAAGTCACCACTGAAATTTACTCCATGGGGCAGGGATATTTTCTCCTTAGAATCCCACACCAAGTTACTTGTGCTTACTGCTTAAAGCTGATATGTACGATACAGCATTATTTCTGTGTTTCAGGGACTGCAGAGGTGTCTTCAATCTTGGAACAAAGAATTTTAGGGTCTGCACAGAAGGCTGAACTGGAAGAAACTGGACGCGTTCTGTCCATTGGTGATGGTATTGCTCGTGTTTATGGCCTTAAAAATATTCAGGCAGAAGAGATGGTGGAGTTCTCAAGTGGTCTCAAGGTAAAATGCTGCAGTTGCCTTCAGTGACCATCACACTGGCATTTTTTCTTGTGTTTGTGACAATTTTCATACCTTTTTACCATGAGCATTAACTCTTCCTCAGTTTTGCTGGAGATGCTTGCTAATAGCATTATGCAGGTGTTTGTTTGTACCACATATTACCTAAAATGTTGGGCACTTTTTTGTTTTTCTCATTAGCTCTTGTAATATGTATAGGGGATATTATGTGGCAGTGGATAAATACAAATTTTATCTTTGAGTGGTAATACTATCTTTCACAAGCGAGCAAAGTGAGTGAGAGATCTTATCAATGTGAGAAGACTAATTCTAACCACAAATGGGCATATTATGTTCTGTTATTCTCTAGATATTGACTGCATATTTGAATCATAGGTAATTTTGAAAATTGCAGAATGCAGAATGTATATAAACTTTCACAGAAAAGTTATTTTAACATCTGACAAAAGGATGTAATAAGGTCTCACTACAAGTTAGAAGGTTGAATTCAATTACAGTGATGTTTGTTAGTTTAAGAAATCCTTTTGTAAAATGTAGAACTGTTATGTGGTAAACCCTTTGTTCTGACAAAGACATTGGTATCTGCACATGTGATGACAAAAATGGTACATTCATTATGCCTAGTGGAGATATCATATCTCTGAAATAGGAGAACCTGTGCTGTTTCATCCATTTCTACATTGTAATTAGATTTTAAACTTAATTGCAGGGTATGGCTTTGAACTTGGAACCTGACAATGTTGGTGTGGTGGTATTTGGAAATGACAAGCTTATTAAGGAAGGAGATGTTGTAAAGAGAACAGGGGCTATTGTAGATGTACCTGTTGGGGAAGGGATGTTAGGGAGAGTGGTAGATGCATTGGGTAACCCAATTGATGGCAAGGGAACACTGGCTGACACCACACGAGCTCGTGTAGGAATCAAGGCTCCTGGTATCATTCCTCGTACATCTGTGAATGAACCTATGTTGACTGGTATCAAGGCTGTGGACAGCTTAGTTCCTATTGGACGAGGACAGCGAGAACTTATTATTGGAGACAGACAGACTGGGTCAGTTGCTTTTACTATTTTATGGTGGAAATCACTTTCAACTAGTTCATGTAACTATATCCAGTGCTACTTTATTGTGTCTGCATTGGAAGCATGTTTGTGTTGATTTAAAGAGAAATTGGCAATAATGATGGACTCGGTTAAATTTCTGTTTTTGGAGAAAAATAGGTTATGTGGCATTAGTACATGGAGTACAATTTTTAGCTGAACTGAAAGAGATATGATAAGTTACTTGATATCTGCTCATTGATAAAAGAGAATTTAGTTGAAGGGATATTTGTACATATGAATTGTGGCTTTGTTGAACAAGGTAGATGTGATTGGTTTTGCTTGATTTTTTAGCAAAACTGCCATTGCTATTGATACCATCATCAATCAGAAGAAATTTAATGAAGGAACAGATGAAAGTAAGTGTTAAAATAACTATTCCCAGAAAGTGTATTAGTCTGAAACAAAGTATTGTAGTGTTATGGTATAGTTTTAGTTACAGTTTCATTTACTACCATTTTTTCATTGGTAATGTTTATGAATGACAATTGCATCAATTGTTTTTCCAGCTTCAAAAATTAAATAATTGTGCTTCGAACATTTGGATCTCAAATAGCAGATTTTCTTTAGCTTTTGTCCCAAATTTGCTTACCATAGCATAATTAATACGATATTGGGTTTCAAGGGCATTTCTCAAGTTTATCAGGGAACTCATCCCTATTAGTTAAGAGCTGTCCAACAGTATTTAAACCAAGTTTGTTTTAAAATATTATTGTTAATGAAAATTGTTGTCACATTCTCCAGAAAAGAAACTCTATTGCATATATGTGGCTATTGGACAGAAGAGAAGTACTGTTGCTCAGCTGGTGAAGAGATTGACAGATGCTGGTAAGTTCTGTAGTTTCTCTTGACCTTGCTCCAGATTCTGTTGTAACATTTGTAGGACTCTTTAGGTGAAAAAAGTAGAACAAGATTGGTTGCTTCTTTTGTAGAAACATGTCTTTTCAGTGTGTTTTTATAGAGAGATGGTAGTCATAGAACTTTACAGCCTATATAGCAGTTGATGATACCTTTTTGGAATAATTTACTGACAAAACTTTCAACAAACTTTGTTGAAAGGTAAAAGTTGACAAGTTTGGGACCATTTTTTATGCAATGAACTTTTAACTCTGTACAGATGCTATGAAATACACCATTGTGGTAAGTGCTACTGCCTCAGATGCTGCCCCTCTACAGTATTTGGCTCCTTACTCTGGTTGTGCTATGGGAGAATACTTCAGAGACAATGGAAAACATGCTTTGATCATATATGATGACTTGTCAAAACAGGTATGAATGATGTGACTTGGAGATTATTTTTAACTTTATTTATTTGACCTTTTCATACAATGATATAACAATCTCTGTGGCTCTTCACTGGCTGAAATGGATGGCTTCTTGACAGGGTATAAAGATCAAAGGTATAAACATCAGTTATCATCAATTTGAGAGGGGAGCTGATTGTGTAGAGTATTTTCTTTAAAATTGCTCTTGTTAGGAAAAGGAATGGGTAAGGGAAACAGTTTTTCTATTTTTTCCTTTTCAATTAAGTGGCTATAAGTTTTTTGGAGAGTAATTATCCTATTTAATTTTGTTTAAATTAAATAACTTGTCATGTGGTCATGAGAGCCCTGAGCATTTGCAAATATAGGGTTTTTTTTAGCTGAAATAGGAAAACATAATTTGATTGTCTTTTACAGGCTGTGGCGTATCGTCAGATGTCACTTCTATTGCGTAGACCCCCTGGTCGTGAAGCCTACCCAGGTGATGTGTTCTACCTTCACTCGCGTCTCTTGGAGAGAGCAGCAAAAATGAATGATGACAACAAGGGAGGTTCCCTGACTGCACTTCCAGTTATTGAAACTCAGGTCATAGAATTACATTTTTTTCCCTCCTTTTTCAATATGTTTTAAATCAATATGTTGTGAGTCCTTTTGGGGAAAGAAGAAAGAAAAACTAAAAGGAAAAAAAAACAGCACAACCTTTATGGCAGTGAGGGCTTCTGTTATTAAAAAGCAATGTCCAAGCTGTCAATTTTTTTAACCTTGGGTATGTAGTGTTTGTTTCATCTATTGGCTCTTGCCTTCCATAATAATACTTGAAGACAATCCTTTGTAATCACTATGAAATTGAACAGTCTTTCATCTAAACTGTTTTGTTGCCTAAGTATAGGTAATCAGGTGATTTTGAGGGAAATTTTGTTTCAAAGAGACTGAAAAAAATTTGCAATTGCTTACATAGATACAAAATTACACAAGAAATCATGTCATTTCTTATTTATGATATACTTGAGAGAAGGAAAAAAGAAAGACAGAAATTAAAACCAAGTGAAACTTGACAGCATTAAATAATAGTTCATTCATAATTTGCACTTGTGTTATAAATTTGCCCCATGTTACACTAGAAATGCACAATTCTCTAAAAAATTAGAACAAGACAAATTTTTCATGTACACATTTATTATTTGATAAACAAGGCCTTGCACTTATACCAAAAGTTGTTTATTTGTTTACTTCTGTTTGTGTTGTACCAACAGGCAGGTGATGTGTCAGCATATATTCCAACCAATGTGATTTCCATCACTGATGGTCAGATCTTCTTGGAGACAGAGCTGTTTTACAAAGGTATCCGTCCTGCTATCAATGTGGGTTTGTCTGTGAGCAGAGTGGGGTCTGCTGCCCAAACCAAGGCCATGAAACAGGTATACTGACTCATCCCACTCTTTTCTTTTCTTTTTTGTAATAATTGTTTTTGTTGTTGTTATTATTATTATTATTGTTTATATTATCATCATCATCATCATCACTATTATTATTATTTTTGTTTATTATTATATGTATCACTGTTATTATGTTTATTTTAATTTCAATCATCAAGGATTTTTTAGAGGTCATGAGTTTACTAAGGATCTTTGGTATTTTACTAAAAGGCTACAAGGGGGTAATAACCTACACTGGATGGCTCGGCCTTTTATCAGTTGGCTTGGTTCACAAAGTGCAGACTATTTACTCTGTTGAAAAACTGAGCAAACCAAAGGAATTGTGTCAGCCAACCCCATCATCATCACCACCAAGCTGAATATAAAGAAACACTGATTTTATTTCAATCTTAAAACCTTTGACCTTTGTTAGAGTTGTCCACAACAATTTAAGGTTATTTTTCTGTCCATCAGGTTGCTGGATCCATGAAACTTGAGCTTGCACAGTATCGTGAAGTGGCAGCTTTTGCTCAGTTTGGTTCTGATCTGGATGCTGCTACTCAGTCCCTCCTCAACCGAGGTGTCCGTCTCACTGAACTTCTTAAGCAAGGACAGTACGGTAAGTGACTGAAAGGTCTAGCTGATGTATGCACCCTTTTATAGTATTTTATTTTCTACATTCAGTGTGTAAGACATTAGTGCCTTGCCGTGGGGGTCTTTGTAAATTCATTTTCCTGTTACTTATTAGCCGTTTTCTTTCTGGCAGTGCCAATGGAAATCGCAGAGCAAGTGGCCGTGATCTATGCTGGCGTTAGGGGTCATCTTGATAAGGTGGACCCTTCCCGCATCACAGCGTTTGAAGAAGCTTTCCTGAAACACATCCGCACATCACAGAAGGATCTTATCGAGACCATCAGGAAGGAGGGTGTCATCTCAGAAGACACAGATGCTAAGCTCAAGAAGGTCGTCACAGAGTTCATCGCATCTTTTGAATAATTTTTCTTAAAAGTGTTAATATTTTTTTCAACCGCAGCTTGTGTTAAATGTGTCCTTTTACGAAATCAACTTGCCAGTTGTTTTGGCGGTGCTAGGAAAATAAAAAGAAACTGAACTGGAGACAAGATACATGCTGCGTCGTGTTAACAGTGCTTTGTTAATAAACTACATTCATAACTGTAGATTCGTACAGCAGAGTGTAGTATCCATCCGAATCGACCTGCGACCAGGATTTCCTGTCTTTTTGCAGATCGACAAGGGCTAACAGCTGAGCCGCCTCTTGCTTTCTCCGGAAAGCCAGACTGGGAATCAACCTAGGATCAAATGGGAACAGCTTAATTCGTTGTGCACTTATAAGTAGACTACAAGCAGCCCCTCCTTCTTAGCTTTTTCCGTTTCGCCAGGCAAAAGCAATCTGTTAATTTTTCCGTGTAATTTGCGGTAACATGTAGGGGTCCTCTCAGGTAAACCTTTCAGAGCAAGGGCCACCGAATGCCGTTGGCTAAAGCAAATCGTCCATGGGAGTGATCTACTTCTGTTGTTTCTTCGTACAATTAATTCTACATCACAAGGCGCTCCGCTTTCCCAACCACTTAAGAATATCGACTGTGTAAGGTACCACCCTTACACTTGCCCAGCCTCCTCTCCCTTCCCCAACAACCTCAGGACAACCCCGCCAGCAGGACCTAATTATTGGCAATACGGCTCGTATGTTTCTTCGCCCGTGAGGAAGGGTCTGGCACTGGACCCCATATTACCGTCGTGATGTTATGAATAGATGCATTCATTTAAATAAAAAAAGTTATGCGTAAATAACTTGGCAGTTTGTCCCGCGATGTTGCCTGCCTCTTTGTGAAAAGTGCCTATAAGTTCTTCATTAGGGCGGAATAATGACTGCTATCTTCGATTCACTTTAACCAAGGTCTTTTCCACTAACGACAGCCATCATCGCAGATCAACGGAACCCTCCAGATCACCTTTGCACAGTGTGTCATGCTATCATGCACAAATCTGGGATAGGGGAAGAAGGTCACGCATCATTGAGGCACGGAGAGTTGTTCTCATGTGGAACAAATATTTTAAAATTTGTCCATTGTGGTCAATTTTCTTTGGTTGGATGGTCGACCAAATCCTGTGGATGCTGTTTCGTAAGAAAGAACGACGTTTAAAAATGTGAAGTAATCTTTTATCGATAAATACACATAAAATACATGAAAAACCGAATACATTCACGGTTAAGCTAGGTAAAGAAAACTGATAACAATGAATGCCACACAAATGAGTAACGCGTAGGACCAACACTTAGCTAAGTCCTATTTACAATTATGCTGAAACACTCCAATGTAAATCTTGGTATTAGTAATCAGTCATTATTTATTGCTAGGAAAGTTAATTGGCAGTCAATTTTCTATAGCCCCATCCCCCCCCCCTTTAAACTCTGTTAACGACAACCAATTCCTCCTTCGTTTCCCTTTCAAACCACGTTATCCCCCCCAAAACCCTCTTCCTACCCCCACGGAAGCGAACGGTCCCTGATCTCTTTTTCGATAAACTTTTAAAGGGAATGAGATGGTGTTGACTGTCCATTAGAACAAGAACAACGAGATTTTGATCTCTATCGCTTAAAATTTAAAACCACATTTTTCACTAATTCTACCTAGTAAAGGCCTTAGAAGAAAATTCAATCGTCAAAATCATAGCCTCTTGTGGATTGAAATCTTTGCAGTTCTTTTCTAACCATTTCCTTTTGCTGATCTGTCCAAATCACATTGTGACGCGTTTTACTGGCCTCTGGATATATTCTCTTAGAACAATCCTCGATATATTTCTGATAACAAGTGAGGTGTAAAAAGTGACAAATTCCCAGCAGAATTTTCTTTGGTTCTTTGATCAGCTCTGAACTGTGGATCTCATGAACTTCCCCAGGGAGAACTTTCTTTAGTTGATTGTTTTTTTCCGCCAAAGCCATATATTTTGCTATTTGTTTATCCAAATTATCGGTATCATTGATCTGAAATCGAATGTAGGAACAATTCATATGTTACGTTTGAAATTCAACATGAGTATCTTAGATAGTGATTACAATAGTTAAGTGAAAGCGGGCAAAAGGGACCCTAAATATGAAAAACGAGGTAGAAATGCAACTGCTGACGTCCGAGAGCTTATCTCTCAAATATACGAAGATAAGAAAAGATGAACAGTTCATTGAATTCAGAATCAGTTGGGAACAAGCGTTTTACCATTGTACAGTTTAAGGAATCGATCATTTTGAGGATTTCAAGCTAAGAGGTTACTATAAGTGACCCTCATCCTCGACGTATTTGATCAGAAAGAAAGATAAACAAACAATTTGGCGTAAACAAAATTACAGAAACAATATAGAAGTGGTTAAATGAATCACTGTCTGGACCAGAATTTAACTTCCCTGCATACTTCCCGAGTTGCTTGTGGCTTGTTTTTATTTCAGCAAGAACTTATTAACACTTTACAGTTAAATATAAGGTAAGTTAGAAGCCCACGGTCAAATAATTTTATCACCTTCTCTCCGGCGTCCGGTCTCTTTTTCAGATCTCTTAGCATCATGGTTGCAATGTTGTCGTAAGGATTTCGGATGACATGAAGAAACTTCATCGGGAGTTTGAGAACTTGGTGAATTTCTTTTAGTACTTTCAGGTTCTCTCGTTTCATAAGCCGTCTGGTTGTATGACCACCCTTCTTAGCTCCCATTACCTATTCGTTAATGGAAGCAATTATCACTGTAAGGAATTGAATACAGTTAACTATCTTATCACCAATAAGCTTTTCATAGACAGCCACGACATTTAGATCTTTACACTTATGACAAGGAACTGCAACATTATTCTTTGGGGAAACAGAGACATACGGCGCTGAAGCAGATTCAAGCAAATTTTGGCAAATAATAAGTCAATGATATTAAAAAAATAAAATTATATCATTACGTACAATCCAATGTACCATGGTCTTCAAAAGAAAAAACTTCCGTATCAAAACGTATAGCACTCACGACCCATATGAGGGGATTCTAAGAAGTCAATTGCTCCCCCGGCCGGCGCCATTAATCAATGATTGACTTGCACCCAGGCTCTAGAGAAGGAATGCATAGGGACGAGGTAACTGGAACTCACCAAAATCTTCTGATTAAATGTTCCCTGCCATTGGCCTGGCACTGAATAATTGAACCGATGTGGGACCGTGGCCGATCGGTAACCGGTATCAGCTTCCATTTTAGAGTTCAGGTACAGCTGGTCAAATAGGTAATACTTGTTTCTGTTGGTTTTAGTCCACTTTTGCCATTCACCAATTACATCAAACTCATTTGCAACCAAGGCGTTAGGATGAGCGTCTAACAAGGAGCTGACCAGGGTGTGGCCACTGCGAGGATAGCCGATGAACATTAGAAAACTTTCCACACCGTCATACAGTTCACGATTAAGTTTATCCTCATTTCTGATCCCATATTGTCGTATTCGGCGTAAGCCTTGAGGAACAAGAAAATTTACATTTGTGTTAAGTCACTTACGCCTGGATGTTGCAACAAATGTTTAACGTTACAGCCGTTCAAGCACTGAGCACCAGCTTCATCTCGGTTAAATATTCTGTAGCGCGAAAATTAATTAAGATTAGAAATTGTAATCCTACCAGTTTCGCTTGTTGCTTACTTCATGTATCTAAACTGTCAGGTACCTTCATGCTGTCATGCTACCTTCATGCTAACAGTTTGTCTTTGGTATCGTTGTTTACTACCTTTTGTTCACACTACCCTTGTTATCTACCTAAGCCTTCTGTGTATTTCTTTGTTTCTGTTGTAGAAACCACCGGTTGCGATTTTATGTTCAATAGGAACTATAAAGTACGGCTAAATAATTTAGATGCGTGGAATACACCATGACTATAAGGTTTCCTATCGCTCTAATTGGTACATGTTTGTATTTAGTTATACATACAGTGAGACAGTAGGGAGACATAACAGCATCGACCTCAACAGCTGGATACGATAAAGTGATATCCGACATACAGCTGTTTCGAGAAAGGTTGTAGGAAAAACGACAGAACTGCACGCGACAATCTCGAAAGGTAATCTGGGTATCTGAGAATCAATGAACTTGGATAAGTCAAATAAATAAATAAATGCAACAAACCCACGATGCTTGGTCCTTACAGTGATGTTTCCTTACATTTTCCTGAAATTTTGAAGTCAAAGAACCGTGACCAGAAAACTATATACAATACCTTTCGGGGTTGTTGCGCGCTCTTTTACGCTTTTTTCCGACAACGTCGCTCGAAACAGCTCAATAAAAGTTGTATGCGCTATGTAGGACAAACTGTGAGGTCAAGAGGGCTGCATATTGGCCGAGGTGTAATTGAGGTCCGTGAAAACGCAAAACAAAGAATGAGGTTAACATCCAGCCTTCTTGACAAAACAAGCTTGCTCAATGAAGGATTTGTCACATTGCAAAAATATTTCGTTTAGAATAACTTGATTAGTTCTGAGTGCTGAGCAATAAATGAACACTTATCACGAAACTTGTTCAGCTATTTTTCTTTGTTTTGACTGTCTTCTCCAGCTTTTTGCGAGTCTATGGCAGACATTGTGTGACAATTTGTTAGTCAGCTCTACGGAATTTTCTTACTTCTTTGCGCGGGATCAAAGCGGGCAATTCCGAACAGGAAAGAAGGGCTCATCTTGTCCGCTCGGGTAGCCAATCAGAGATTTAGTTCCATCAAGATGCACATTGTAGTAATTGTTTGTTTGGTGTGTACTTAAGGTGCAGTGGACCTTGCCACGGAACCTTTCCTGAACATACTTAGATGAAGAAGGAAGGTATCTGATAATGAGCTTACGGGTAATCGCTGATTTGCCTGAATCTTACGCACTTTATCCTTTTTAATGCAGAATCTGTCCACAGAAAGATCAAGACTATTATCTTATCAATCAAACATCTACACCTGACAATTTTTTTATGAATAGATAAGAATTTGTCGTAAACCGACTAAGGGATTTTCTCAACCTTTCAGCTACATTGTTCTTTGTTTGTTTTTTTTTTCTCGCAACGCTACGCGAGAGCAACAACAATCATTTGTGAAAGACCAGGAGAGAAAAATCAGTAACCCGACCAAACCCAGATCGAAGAACGTCGGAAATGAATAAACAACAATTAAAATCAAATCAAGACTATCCTGGGAATATCATAATACAACTAGAAAAGACTTGCGTTACTCTCTGTTCTTAGTTAATAATTCCCATCTAAAATGAACGTGAGAAATCGCACATGGCTCCTTGCCGTAAAGATTTTGAGTCAATCACTAGTGACGAGGAGGAAAACCGGGTAGTATAATATGGCAATGACAGTTAAAATCCATTAAAATCTAGTTCTTGATAAAACATGGGAGATATCGTCCCCACGATGAAAGAAAGAAGCCAATCGAATTTTTTCTGAAGTGTAAAAGAGCCGGCATCAGTCATAATTTCATCTTTGGATATGCAGTGACAAGGCATAAATAAGTTACTAATATTACTATAAGGAATGGTGGGTGCTTGACTGACTTCCTGTAGATCATTCCACTTAAATTATTTCTCTAAATGCAAAGTTGTTTGATGAAGAGGTGAGTCATTTTAAGACAGTCGGCTTGAACATACCTTTCCTTCCCCCTAGTTTTCTGACAAGTAAGTCCTTATAATTCGTTGACATTACAAATACAAGAGCAACGACAGAAAGTACAGTAATCACACACCATAACCTTCGATTCATAGTTCAATTAATGAATCGCAGCGTATCGAAGAGATGTGTTTGTGTGATGATAATGAACATGACCTCAGAAATGACATCTGATCCAAAGTTGTGCCTAAGTCCTACCGGCTAAAGGTACGCCCGAGGAGTACTAGTAGCGAGGATTAGCGGACATTGTCAGCTATTCCAACATGGCGGACGATTCTAGTTTTTACCAATAGTCAAACGACGTGATTGAACCAGACATGAACATTATAACATGCTGTATACGTGAAGAATACATTCTTGAGTTTAAATCAAGGAAACTTCGCTAAATTTTGTTTGGCTGTTTCCTTCACCCTTGTCGATCTCAAGTTTCTTGTTCAACAGAGTTTTAGCTGAACACTGTAGCCGATAAGACCTACGCTTGCTAAGGTAAACAAAAGTTATGAATTGTCGCGGAATCAAGAGGACTGTATACTTCTTTGTTTTCTAAACGCGTTTATTTTCTTCCATCACTCCTGACAATCTGAACATACTAACACTCTAACGATCTAAAACCAATCTGCCCTTACAGTTCAGTGCTACTTCGTTTTACAGTTCTAGTTGCGAAATAAAGTAATTTTCCCACAATCACGAGTTCAGTAAATTCCCAATCTCAAAGTACTGTAATATACCCTATTTTAGTTGCAATTTCACAATTACACGTTTCTTTCCCTTATTTAGTTCACTGTACGCATGCAAATCAGTGTTGAACTTTGTTTACAACGTTGTGAAATATCATGTCACGAAATCTTCCTATTCGCGTTACGATCAGTCTAGTATTTCGCTACATTGTGTGACAATTTATAAGATTAATCATTAATTATAAAGAAATCGTTCTCGACATGAATAGTATCGCCACTACAATGCCCTTGTCATAGTGCTACTGATGGGATAGATCCTCAAGATGAAATTTCTATTGTCTTGTACCTCTAGCCGGTAGAATCTCAAGAGGCTTAGAATATACTACCGGCCAGAGGTAAAGCTTACATACTTAGTCGACTTTGCCCAATTTTTATTAGGGTTAAATTCGTTTGCTCCACACTTTACTTTTCTGCAAAGTGCCTAAATTCTACCGGCTAGAGGTACGCCCGAGGAGCACTAGTAACGAGTTCCCGAGTCGGGTGATTATCGGATATTGTCTGCTAGTGCAATAAGGCAGACTATTCCAGTAACATCATTTGCATAAGTTTTTGGGAGAGTAATTATCTTATTTAATTTTGTTCAGGATTTTTTGGCTGAAATGGGAAAACATTATTTGATTGACTTTTTCAGGCTGTGGCATATCGTCAGATGTCACTTCTATTGCGTAGACCCTCTGGTCGTGAAGCCTACCGAGGTAATGTGTTCTACCTTCACTCGCGTCTCTTGAAGAGAGCAGCAAAAATGAATGATGACAAAGATGATAAACTTAAATAAAATCACACAGCATGAAAAGGTTTTGCTATCTTGTGCCAGGAGGGTTCATCAAAGGATAATTAAGTGGAAATACAAAGCTAGACGGTATTTGTTTGTACACTTTCTGAAATATTTTCACTTTTAAAATCCTGGGAATTTCACTGATCAAATAGTTTGGAAGAGTGAAGATTACTTCTCGACTTATTCCAGCTAATCCCTTTCGTTCAATGTATGGTGTCACCAGATAATGACCACTGCTTTATTTTATTACATGTCCTTTTAAGCTTGTGTAATGTGCACTTATCATCTTTAGTCCATCGACGTATTTTAAACTTTTCTTTGCAGCATTTTTAGAATTATCATCTCGGACTTAGAACTCTACCTCAACTTCACCATCCGCGTGCGTTTTGACCGCGACAAAAACGTACCATGGCTTTCCCTTTATCCCAAACCATTTTCTCTATGTTTCCCGGTAATCAAATAAAGGGAATTTCATGGCCCATTTCATAATTATGAGCCCTTGGTTGTTGGCCAGGTTCTCAATTTCAATCTCAAATTTTTGTGTCCTTTTGACAATGCCAAGCCTTCGTAAGCTTACTCGAATCAGAATCTTACAATACGACTTCAGCGATCCCCAAGCCAGCAAATATGTCTGCGATCGCCGTCAAGCCACTCTCAGTTAGAAGTCACATGAGGCGATTCATAAAGAAGGAAACGGCTAAAACAACGCCGCCAGAGAAAGGAGAGGGATGAAGGGGCGGTACGCCACAGACATAGAAATTCAAGACTCTTTCCAAAATATAAAGAAGCACAGCATGGCTGGCATTAAAGCCTTGAACAACTTTTCCTTTGAGTCTGAGAGCTTGGAAAAGCGTACAATGTGGGCAAGTTCCTATGTCTGAGAAAGCTTAAGAATTACGGTTCTGCGCAAGGTGCGTGAAAATTTACCAGGAATTGAAGAGTCTTGAGAAACATCTCGATGATGGACTTCACTTAACCTTGCAAGGTGGGAAGAAACCTGTAAAAATTATGTGCAAGGTGCAACCGTTGGTGGTTCTCTGTCAACAACGTAATAATATCTCTTACAACAACAGAATCGACTGTAGCAACAGCCAACAGTCCATCTTTAGAGGGGGTTGAGCTTTGAAGAAGGAGAAGAAGCCAACGAGTGTGGTCATTTTTGCAAGAGATATTCTGATAAAATATATAAAAGTTCACACGGCAACCAGGTGGACAATCAGACATGGTTTGATGCTACTCTGGTTTACAGATTTAATGAATGTAACCGAAGAAGTTAATTCATAGACCCAACGTTTCGACTGTCTAGTGCCCTCATAAGAGGTGATGAAGAAGATTATCGATAGATTATCTGATGAAGGCACTAGACAGGAGTATCGAAACGTTGGGTCTATGAATTGTAACTTCTTCGGTTACATTCATTAAATCTATAAACCAGAGTAGCATCAAACCATGTCAGATATTCTGATGTTGAAGCTAAAATGAAGCGTCTAAGATAAGCAAATGGAGACAAACTGTTCACCAAGGAGGAATGACTTTCAGTCGTTCAAATTGCTAGATATTTCAGTAGGTTATCAGCCCTTCATAAGGCCGATCTCCTGAATGGAGTCAGTAAGTGCCTCCTTGGAGGATGAATATACGATCACTACGTCAACAGTGGAGATACGATGGAGAAGAGATTTCAAATAAGGAAGAGAACTAGAAATTTATCACCGGTACAAAAATAATTGTAAATGCGATTGTAAGATAATCTTCTTCTTCAGTGAATAATCTATGGAATAATTAACTTCAGCGTGAGTAAAAGGGGCGTTTATGCTGTTTCTGTTTTCCAATAGATTGTGTCAGCGTCACAGATTTCTATGATAAGTGACCCCTTAGCTCGGCAGCTATACATCTGTTGTTTTTAGACATTAATGCCACAAAAGCTAACGTCGGCGATCCCATTCTCAAATTGAAATTGAGTGAATAAACATCAGTTTATTAATTTATGTATTAAGGAATTGTTTTCTTAAGGTTCAAACATCCATTGGACTCAATAAGATTGAAATCCATCGCCTTCTGTTCGTGAAAGAGAGATTCGTTGGAAGTGCATTTTTCGAGCTAATCTTAGCCTTTTATCTCAGGGAATTGATGTGGGGGCTTTAATACCCCTGGGATTACTCGCGAACCCGAACCACTCTGGATTCTTGAATAACTTACTGACCCTCATAAACTGTGAAAGTTTGTGAAATCGGTGAGATGGCATGTGTCACGCCTGCCCTCTCCTCCGGTGGACAGACTGTTAACTGCAATTATTTAAAGAACAGCCTAAGGGAATAATGAGTAGTATTTTGGATTGCTAAGTGATTTTGGAGTGTATGTTTTTCACTCTGTTTTGAAATTCTTTAGAGCAAACCAGAGCTTACTTACCGTGTTTGATGTAAATCAATATTAACTTGGAATAAGAAAGAAGCTTTTTTTTAAGAATAAATGACATAAAAAAATTATATTTGTTCAGTTGCATTGGCTCTCACCGTTTCCCGGCCTTGAAATAATTTAAGACCGTCTAGGTCAAATTTACAACCCTTTTCTTGTCTTGATTAATTTTCTACCTTAGTAAAAACCTACTCTGTGCACTGCGAAGCTGAGAGGTCATTCAGACTTCTCGTTACCAGCTTTTGTGGCAGTCCGTTTCAAACACTCCAGGATAGGAAAATATGATTTTCTGAAAAGGTTATGAAATGAATGTGCTAGCTGGACTTGATTGATGACCTCTAATCATTGAATTCATCTTTTATTTTTACTACAACATAGGAGCAAACAAGAATATTCACCTTCTTTACTCTATTTCAATGCACTGCTACCTTTTACCTTTTTTGTTATGACACTATCTGAGGAAAACATTGTTTAAGACTTTTAATTCAACTTCCAGCCTCAGTAATAACTTATTCTGTGCATCGCTAAACTAGGAGGCCATTCAGACTCTTCGTTACCAGCTCTTGTTTGCAGTTCGTTTCAAACGCTATGTGTTAGGAAAAATACGATTTTGTGAAGTTTATAAAATGAATATGCTGATTGAACTTGATTAGTGGCGTCTAATCGTTGAATTTATCTTTTATTATCACAAAACCATCCGAGCAAACAAGAATGTTTACCACCTTACCATAATCACTTCTTAAAATTTAATGCTCTACTTCCTTTGACCTCCGCTGTTACGACACCGTCTGAGGAAAATATTTTAAAAGGAATTAAGAGTGTTGTTATTTGAATTCACTTAGCTAGCGATTTAACACGCCGGCCGGACATCTTTTATTTTCCATCAGGTCTTCCTAATGGCTTCATAAATACAACTTTTTTACGGAGCAATCGTGTTTGTTAAAACAAAGTGACTTCATTAAAGGAAAAATACAAGATAAACTGTACCTATCTGTCGGAAATTTCTCACAATGATCGAGGCGAAAATGTCAGAGGTGCGTTCGAACCACAAGTCTTTCCCTAAAAATAACCCTACCCCCATATCTCTGGTAAACGCCTCTTTTTAAGAACAATAAATGTTACGTTGGCGAAATAAAATTCAGGCCAAAAAAAAATATATAGACAAACAAAAGGAATGAATGCAATGATTTTAATAATTTAATGCCACAGTTACATTAGATAACAAG